TTTTTCTTTTTTTTTTATCCTCACCTGAGGAAATGTTTTTATTGATTTGAGGCAGAGAGAGAGAGAGAGAGAGAGAGAGAGAGAGAGAGAGAGATCAATGAGAGAGAGAAGAAACATCAATTTTTTGCCTTGGCTATGTGCCCTGACCAGGGATGGGTATGTGTCCTGACTGGGAATCGAACTCACAACTTTTTGGTGTAAGGGACGATGCTCCAACTAACTGAGCCACACTGGCAAGAGCAAATTTTATTAAAAAAAATATATATGTACATATAATAGAGAAATGTGAATTCTGGTTATCTTTGAGATGTGATTATAAGTGTCTTATTTTCTTTTTTTATTTACTTCTTTGTATTTTCAAACATTCTCCATCAATATTCATTATGTAAAAAACTATATAAAAATTTATAAAAATTGAGAGGTAGTATAATAGAGGGATTATGTGTACAGTCCATTTTTGTCCAATCTTGGGAAAGTTGATTAACTTCTCTGTCCTTCAGTTTCCTCATCAGTAAAAATGGGAGAGTGTTTGTTGAGTAGTAAGAATTAAATGTGTTAATGTCTATCAGGTGCTTACAGTGCCTGTATCATCCTGTCTAATAATTGTTAGCTTTTCTTCTTATGTTAATCTGCATTTAAGTTGATCTTTACATGTTTTGTATTTTTGCATTTAAAACCGACATATTCTCTAAGTTAAACTCCACCCCTCCCCTGAACCATGGAAGCTGGCCACACTGAAAGCATCTTGTTCCATAGGTTCACACGGTCATTACTCATCTGGTTTCCTGGAACTTTCCTCTCCTCTTCCTCTCAAGTCTCACCTACCTCCAGATCCATGTAAATGCGGTGTCTTTGTGGAGCTGGGTGTGATTTTTCCTGGTAGAAGTAATGTTGTTAAGTTTTTATTCTCAACATGTTTCACCTGTACCTCTTTCATGACACAGAATTTTTATTTGGCATTATAATTAGTTATACATATTATTTAGCCTTGTTGGGCTGGAGGCCCATGAGGACCTAGCCTAGGTTTAATTCCATATGCACCGTACATAGCTCAATAAATATGTATTGCATAAATGAGTGACCAGAGGCTACAGAATGTGGTATTACCTTGAAGCATGCAGTCGTAGGCTTTCCTATCTCTCCTTCCTAATGCGTCCCAGAATCCCAGAGGCTCGGAGCCTTCCTCACACTCGTGTATTGTCACTTTGCTGCTACTATGCAGTCCTGCTTCCAGGGGGCATCTGTATGAAGACCAATCATTTTTATTAAGCTTTGGAAGTACTGACAGCACAAAATTATTCAAGATTAAATCTATAGGTGAGTTCACCATTCCTCTTCTACTTTCTAACTAAATCAATTCTTACAAATAAATAAAAACATGCTCTGTGGGGTAGGGATTGGCGTGGTCCTTAGAGAGAAATGTACAATTACATATAATTTGTAATGTATAGAATATACATTTCTATATGTAATATACATATTTCCTATTCCTGGTCTTCTCCTGCAGAAACATAAGCTTCATGGGGACAGAACTTGGATTTACTCACTGGCAAGTCCCTAGTCCCTAAACCTCTGCTTGGCACCAAGTAGGTGCTCAAGAACTGTTGAATGAATGAGGGAATGAGTTCTTTGTTCTTTTGTTGTTGTTTTCTCAGAGGTCCAAGTAAAGAATCTGATGGGCCACGAATGCCTTCGGATACCTAACAGAATGTCATTTATCATCCCTCCCCACTCGCTGGCCTTCAGGATGGTGTTTTGAGATGAAACATCTTGCTTCACAGCCATCTGCCTATTGAAGGTTCACTTGCCCTCCTCCTCTCCTCCCTCTCCGTGTACTGGTGGGTTTTAGAGCAGTCACAGGGAAAGCAGGCGCACAAGTTTTGATGCCCAGAGAATGGATTTTACCAAACTGCACTGTTTTGATCTTGGGAAATTCCTCATTTTTACGATGCCCAGAGAATGGATTTTACCAAACTGCACTTCAGTGGTATGTTTTGACCTTGGGAAATTCCTCATTTTTACTGTATAAATCAGTGGTTCTCAACCTTCCTAATGCCACGACCCTTTAATACAGTTCCTCATGTTGTGGTGACCCCCAACCATACAATTATTTTTGTTCCTACTTCATAACTGTAATTTTGCTACTTTATGAATCGTAATGTAAATATCTAATATGCAGGATGTATTTTCATTGTTACAAATTGAACATAATTAAAGCATAGTGATTAATCACAAAAACAGTATGTAATGATATATGTGTTTTCCGATGGTCTTAGGCGACCCCTATGAAAGGGTTGTTCGATCCCCAACGGGGTCGCGACCCACAGGTTGGCGACCCACAGGTTGAGAACCACTGGTATAGATGTTACAAGGTCCTCCAAGTTCTCACCAAGGAAACGCTGGGCATCTCCTGAAGGACTGGGGGACACTGGATTTCTTTGTCAGATTGCAATGTCCATGCTGCATGAGCTGCTAGGAAGCGCAGAGCCCCAGCAGCAGCCTGCCTCTAGACAGGTGACAGGCTGGTACAGCCCCCTCCTGAGGTCCTCACTTAATGCTGTGGCACAGTGTGTTTTCTTTGTATAAGTAGTCAATGCCGGTACGTGCCTGGGAGAGGAATAAAAGCCTCCACCTGGTGGGCTGTGTCTGAGAAGTGCCTCAGGGATCCAATAACTCACTGTTTGGAGGCTGCCTTCCAGAATGCAGAAATACAGTCTTTCTCTAAAGATGAACATCTTTCACCAAACTCTTCATTAGCTAAGTGCTTTTTAACATTCTACTGTTCTGACAAAATTAAAACCCAGAACTTCTAAAAGATATTTGAAATTTGCTCTGTTTAAGTAACATAGGACTTTAGGCTTATAATTCAACAGCTGAGTCATACCTATAAAGAAATGAAAGCGCTTGTTGAGGTCTTTTTCATCACCCCTCACTCTGCCTTTTATTGAGGCAGATAAAACCTCAAAAAGTGGGAGAAGCCCTCAGGTTGAAGGTTTTGGCCGAGATGCATCAGACCCACCTGGAATGTTAGACCCTGACAATGGTCATAACCACCTTTAGTGAAGTCACTGTAAACACACTGGGATGTCCACTAAGGAATCCAGGGAACCCTCTGGCCTTAGGCTGTGAATCCCTTAGGTAACCCCTTCCAGAAGAGGCCCTCACACCCACAACACTCACTGTTCTTTGATTTTATTTGCTGCAGTCCTTCCGACCTCCTTCGTGTGGGCTTGGGCTTTGCATCCATGCCACAGGTAAATGAGGGCTTTAGTTACGTTGAGAACAACCATGGACGTCCTGGACCTCAAGCTACTACAGTGACAGGCCACTTCCAGCAAATTTCCTTCCATGGGCACTTCTCCTCGCACACAGTACAGCCTCCACTCACCTGCAGGGGGCACCAGCGGCACAGGGTTAGGAGGTATGCTGCACAGGAAGACTGGGCCCTCAGGGCCATCCTCAGCAGTCCACAGCAACGCAGTGGTCGGCACACTGCAGCTCGCGAGCCACATGCGGCTCTTTGGCCCCTTGAGTGTGGCTCTTCCACAAAATACCGACTTCTGCGCATGGCCATGAAGTTTCAATTACGTACATGCGCGCCCACACGCGGTATTTGTGGAAGAGCCACACTCAAGGGGATAAAGAGCCGCATGTGGCTCGTGAGCCACAGTTTGCCGACCACTGAGGCTGAGGCCATGGGCCATCTTACTGCCAATCCAGAACACAATTCCTTTTGGAGTTAGGAATAGGTTGTCAAAAGTTTTCGATGCAGAGATACCATTTTTACAAAATTTATAAATGCCTAGGTAAGTTGCAGAATAGGCATATATAAAAACCCTCTAAAGCTAAGGGTTTTTTTGGAGCGTTTTCTTTTTTTGGGTGCTGGCCAATAAAAATTTCATAATTTATAATAGACAATCCACTGATTTTTTTCTTTTTTTAAAGAGTCACTGTGAGGATTTCGTTTAAGGTAATCTTGTAGCCTCCAGCATACATGGGGGTGGGAAGATGAGATCCCCCATACAGCTGCTTTATGAGCCAGACATCAGGTGGCTTTCGGTGGGAAAGCTATGGCCATATGAAGAGAGACTTACTCTAAACCCCACGCCTATAAAAACACTTTCCAGGAGAGGAAAAAAAATCTAATTCAAACAGTAAAAGTGACTCACTTTGTGCATTTTCTTCCTCCTCTTCCCGTCTTCCGGAGTGCACCACCATCCCCCCTTGGAAACACTGCAGGAAACAGGGGGGCTCCTTTCCCTGGAGGACCTGGACCTTCCAAGTTAAGCACATTAACATAAGTAACCTGCACTGGTTTTCCAAAGGGATAAAAATTATACACCCTATTGCAGAAAACGTGAAAAAAAATACAAGAAACAGGAACAAAAGCCAGTTACAATACTATTATCTAAAGATAACCACTATTAAAAATCTAGTGTATAACTTTACTTTCAAAGTATTTTTCAGGTATGTATTTTTTCCAAACAAAAATATGATTGTTGTTTCATGTTGCTTTCTACCCTGATTTTTTTTCACTTAAAGTTTGTCTGTTATTGAATATTTTTTAAAACATGAATTCTGATATATAAATGGTATTTTGTGGTATAGATGTAACACAATTGATTTAAACACATTTTTAACAAAGTACACCGCTGAGCAATGAGGATGACTAATCACCAACTTAGTAACCCTGGGGGAAAGAACTGTCTCTTTTGTAACATTTGCAAGAGTCTGATCAGAGCCTTTGTTCACCAGCCACGGCCTCCCCTGGCCTGGTGACGCACTCTCTTCCATCAGGTGTTAGCTGCACCATAATAACATCAGGGTTGAGTCAACCCACGCTTACTTTGGCAAGACATTTTCCCTTAAAGAGGAAAGTGTTTATTGAGGCTGGCAGTCGGGGAACATTGAAGGTAGGAAGCATTTCTCACCATGAGTTAATTTGTCAACCTCAGGGCCCATTTTGCATAATTAAATGCCATTTTGTGGCAGTGTTTTATATGCCTAAAGTGATTTTCCATCTGTTGGATTAATAAAAACATGAAATGCTTCAACCAGATAGATTAAAACTCAAAACTCAAAAAATGATTTTGAGGGCATTCATTCATGGCCTTTACAAAAAAAAAAAAGGCAGTTGAAATTACTCATTACGAATAGATGAAAATGCAACGGTCACTAACGACTATGGGTAAAATACAGTCCACAGCAGAAGAGGATTGGATCTCAGGAATCTAGAAGGCTAAGTGAGTAGTGCTCTGTTTCTGGAGAAAATGCCTCCGTTATCCCTCCTCCTGCTATTGTTCACTGTTCACCCAAGAAAGTAAAAATATCTGCACTGAGAGCTCTTAATTGCTGGCATTGAAGGAGGGAACCTGAGGCACAGGTAATCCAAATCCTAAAAAGAATGTTTACAAATCCTTGGTTTTCAGTAGTAGTAGAATCTGCTTGTTGTTAAGCTGGCTCTGGGCTATAATGGGGAGGAAGACCAGGACAGATATGGTCTCTTTCAAGCTTGTGGGGAAAGACAGATAATAAATAAGTCAACAAAACAACCATGTAGTTTTACATAGTAGTAAGTGCTATGAGAAAAATAGCACATTGGAACGTAAACCTGAATCATACGAGCTAAGAGCATAAACCTGAATCATATGGCCTAAGAGTTACATACAGACCCAGGGGTAAGAGTGCACAGGCCCTGGGTGGGTAGGAAGAGGTGCTGAGGAGCAGCAAGAAGACTAGAGCAGTAGGGACTTGTGCAAGAACAGGGAAGGTTGGAGAGATGTGCAGGGCTGCCCACGAGGGTGCTGGGAGACCACGGGCAGGCTGCTGAGAATGTAGGCCATGGGTTGGAGAGCCAGGGGTGATGCAATCTGGCCTGGTCTAGAAAAACCACTAGAGCTAGTTTAAGGAATGCAGATGTTGGAAATATTAATTTTTACATTAATCTGATATCTCCTTAGGGTGCATTTGTGTAAGTGGAATAACTGATTAAAGCTTAAGAACATTTAAGGTTCTTTGAGCCAAAACTATTTTTCAGGATGGCTGCTTCCAGTTACACTTCCAGCAGTAGCATGCAAGGTCCTCATCCCATGGAGCCCTTGCCAGCCCCGATCCAGACTTTAAAAAAATCTCTACCAAATTTAGAAATGGAAAATAGCATCTTTTTACTTTATTATGTCCCTTTCCTTGATGATTAGTTAGGTGGAAACTTAAAAAAAAACACTCATGAGCCTTTTGTCCTCATTTTGTGGATTTGCTGCTATGTAAAACTACATGGCTGTTTCGTTGACTTGTTTATTATCTGTCTGTCCCCACAAACTTGAAAGAGACCATATCTGTCCTGGTCTTCCTCACCATTATAGCCCAGAGCCCGCTTAATAACAGACAGTTACTACTACTGAAAACCAAGCCTTTGTAAACATTTGCTATTTGCAGGTACATTTTGTTAAAGACCATGTTACAACAGGTGGGCCTTCCTGGCCCAGTGGTGGGGGGAGAAAAATGAGGTGCAGCCTGAAGTCTGGAGCAGCCGGACCAGGACTCAAAGTGTGTTGGGTGAGTTGTCTTTGTTCATTCGAATTGGGCCCTTTGGGGACCAGGCGACACGTGCTGGGCCAGCTCTCTCATTTCTGGTGCAGCACTCTCCAGGACGTACCTGGGCACCCCTTTCTTCATCCAGCTCCACTGTCATCAGAGCTGACGTGCCCTTCTCACTCACAGTCGACTGCCGGCCTTGCCAGAAGAAGTAGACGCACTTCTCTTTGCCAGCCACCCTTATGGAGTGCTCTCCCTTCTGTCGGTTCCCCACTGCAAACACAGAACAATAGAGGGCAGGGTGAGCAGCTGCTAAGACAAAAGAAGGGCAAGTGCATGGCTCTCTTCTCAGGCTCTCAGGAAAAACAGGAGAGAAACAGCTTTTGGGCGCCAAAGCTGAGGAGAAATCATTCATCACTGGAGGGAAAGTAAATCATACTGCGGGACAAGAGAAAAACCACCTCTGCCAGCTAACCGACCCTGCAACTTTAGCCGGAGGGAAGTGATTTTGATGCCTTAAGACAACACCAGTCTTCCTAGAGCAGTGGTTCTCAACCTTCTGGCCCTTTAATACAGTTCCTCATGCTGTGACCCAACCATAAAATTATTTTCGTTGCTACTTTATAACTGTAATGTTGCTACTGTTATGAATCATAATGTAAATATCCGATATGCAGGATGGTCTTAGGCGACCCCTGTGAAAGGGTTGTTCGACCGCCAAAGGGGTCGCGACCCACAGGTTGAGAACGCTGTCTTAGAGGAAGGTGGCAGACACGCCCAGGGCGACAGAGGAAGCGGTGACTCCACAGCAGGATCTTCAGCTTCCAAAGATGCAGGCGCAATTTCCACATTATACGGCTCTTTGGCAAAAGATTTGCTGGTAGAGAAAAGATACTGAAAACCACAACTGGGCCAGCTTTAAGCACAAAGGAAAAAATTTAGTCTGTTAACACTATTCTAGTGGGGGAAAAAAACACTTTGATGTCTCGAAGTTCTGTCAGAAATAGAAGCGATGAATTGCTGACATATCACTTTCATCAAATAATCTGGGATTTAAATATCTGTCACTGGGGCTGTAGCCAGGATTAAGTGCCGGTTATCTTTACTGTCCGGCGCCTCGCAGGCATTCGCTACCTATTAGCAGCCCACAGAAGGCAGATCTCACTGAAGAACAGTCACGGAAAGTTAATTGGCCAAGTGGTGGTTCTGGAAAGTATTTCAGACCTCAAGGCCGCTACCTTTAGGACTAGACCTCACTTTAGACTCTCCTCATTCATTTGCTCAGCAAATATTTATTGAGCACCTACTATGTGCCAGGGAACTCTAGGATTCTGGGGCTACAAAGATGAGCAGGATAGACACCTTCCTTGCTTTTTTTGTTCTACTAAATAGATGAGCAAGATACTTTGAGACAGTGGTAGTGATGAGGAAAACAGGCAGGACCAGGGTGAATGCTAATGGGACTGCCTGTGGAAGGAAGGCCTTCCAGCAGAGGTGGGTGAGTGGAGGCCTGAATGACGATGGCCTAGAAGGTAGAGCCTTTTAGGCTGAGTAAGGTCAGGACACCGAGCTCTTTACTAAATGCCCAGTGGCCTAGTAAGTGGGCTCAGCAATGGGAAGATGCCAGTGATTTTAACACCCATTAAAAATTAATGATAGTAACTGTACTCTCTGCTCTATATTACCTTAATTTTTCTCAGCTCCAATCCCATTTACTAAATCACAGGTGTCCTGAGGTTTGAAGATAAGAAAAAAACTTATTTAAGATGTTAAGAGGTCAGAAGCCATATTTATTTATTTTGTTTTTTGGCCTGTTAGCAAAGTACTCTATAACAGTTCATAAATGATTGTAATTCTTAAAGTATTTTGCCTAAGCACTATCTTCAGTGCCATCTACTGTACACCTGAACTGGTCAAGCCTGTATATTTTTAGTGGGAAAGTGAAATAGCAGCCATCAATGAACAGGTTATAAATGTCCACGATTAAGTTGGAAGGCACTTGATTGAAATTTATGCTGATTTAGATAGGAATAAAGGTTTGCCTTTGATTAGCAACCTTCAATGTAGTGAAATTTAGTTATGTTAATCAGATTATAGGGAAAAGATATGCTTACAATATATCACAGCAGTTGTTACCTATCTTGGGATTTGTTAGCACTTGAGTACATTGTGTAAGTATATAGCAGTCATGCTCAATAACCACTGCTTGCACCCTAACATTCTAAAATGGACTTGAGTGTATGAACCTAAAATAGAATTGTATTTTATAAAACAGATTTTTCACAAATTTTTCTTGAAACTTTCTTCAACATATTCAAATGTAATCCTATATACAGCTTAATTTTTAACTCATTTATTTATTAATTTTAGCAAAGGAAAGATTGAGCTTTTATTAGTAAGAACTTCTGAACTACAATCATCATAGCCATCAAATGCCTAATCTAAAGTGTTAATGTTATCAAAATACTTTCCAGAGTAAGTTCGTGAGCAGCAGTTGTATTTAGGAGAAATAGAAAACTGAGGTATGAACTCTCATGGTCAAGGGTCTAGAGCAGAACCCTCTTACGGATTGCTACTTACAGGAACCCGCCTGTATCACGCTCCATGTTGCCTGACCCAACATCACTGGGTACCTCAAGCAGCTTGTTTCCTGACCTTCGGGGGCAGGAGCCATGCCCTGTAGCTCCTGAGGTGGTCATTAGGGCAGGGCACTGACCCACCGAGGCTTCGAGACTCCCTCTGTGGGCCCCAAGGAGCTGGACTCTCTGTGTGCCTGTGCTGGGTGGCCAGTGTTCAGCAAGAAGATGACTGTACTGCTGCTTTCTGCTGAGCATGCCCAGAACATCCTGAGCTCTGAGTTCAGTCCTGTTTGCAGGTGCAGTCCTTGTGGGATATGATTGATGAGGAGCTGGACTAGCAGTCACCAAGGGGCCAGTGCTTCTAGGAGGGCCACATGTGACTGCAAATGCCAGTGGTCTATGCTTTTCTGCTTTCAGAGGGACTGTCTGGAATCTGAATGCTCCCCACTCTAACTTAATTCTTTGAAGCTGGACTTCTTCAAAGTTATAACTTTGCTCATAAAGATACTGCTGGAACTGGCTGTGAGAGGAACACATTGTCTATTCGGAAGTAATATAGAAAGTATTTGCCTGGCTCAAATCATTATTTCTTAGGGGCCTCCAAGTAAATAGTTTATGAAGACCTCAAATATTACATTTATTTTGTTAATTTATTTTCATCTCATTTTATTCATTCATTCACTTGCTATTATTTTTTTTTATAACCAACAGTTCAAGTAAGAAAATGGCTCAATTTAACACTGTAGAGTCCCTTAGTCTCCTTTTATAAAACAAGTGAACGGTTCCCCTTGTATTTTAAGAACAAGAACTATGTATGTCTTCAAAGGTTATTCCTTAAAGTGCCCTGTTCCACACCCAGAGCTGAGTAGTTTCTTCCCCACTAAACTCCCTCTTATTGTTTTTACTAGAGGCCCAGTGCACAAAAATTTGTGCACTAGGAGGGGGGTGGTCCCTCAGCCTGGCTTGCGCCCATTTGCAGTTCAGGACCCCTTGGGGGATGTCCACCTGTTGACTTAGGCCCACTCCCCGGGCGATCAGGCCTAAGCTTGCAGACAGACATCCTTCTGGCAACCAGGGAGCCCTCGGGGGATGTCTGACTAAAGGCTTAGGCCCCCAAGGGATCGGGCCTAAACCGTTAGTTGGACATTCTTAGTGCTGCCACGGAGGTGGGAGAGGCTCCTGCCACCACCTCTGCACTGGCCAGCCATGAGCCAGCTTCTGGCTGAGTGGCACTCCCCATATGGAAGTGCGCTGACCACTAGGGGGCAGCTCCTGCATTGAGCATCTGCCCCCTGGTGGCCAGTGTGCATCATAGCAACCAGCCATTCTGCTGTTCAGTCAATTTGCATATTAGCCTTTTATTATTATTATATAGGATTGCTGACTAGCAGCACAGGTTATCACTTCAGTTTGCAATATTCTGCATAGTGACTCATGGGAGTTGCTGTTGTTTTGGGTAAATCGACGTTATCTCATCTTCATGTCAAAGGTAGTAATTATGCCATTGCTGCTTAGAATGTCAAAGATGATTATTTCCTGCAAGGCACATGCTAAACATTATACATACCAGACTATAATATTCTATGAGTGGGTGTTATAATCTCTATTTTTCGGTGAGAAAACCGAGGCTCAGAGAGGTAAAGCAACTTTACCCAACTTGCAGAGCTGGTATGGAGGGCCTGAGAGAGATTCAGACCCAAGCCATATGGCTCCAGGGCGCGTGACCTTCCCTCTAAGTGGCAGGGCCTCCTTATGAAAGGGGACATGGTTTCAGTGCCCAGCTCCTCTCTCTCTTAGCTGTGTGACTCCAGGTGAGTTACTTAATTTTGGTGTCCTGCTCCTTCTCTGAAAAATGAGCACAAGGACAGAACACATCTCATGAGCTCGCTGTGCAGACGCTCAGCTGGAGCCTAAGGTAAAGCCCCAGTGTGTACCTGTGTGCTGTGTGGCCCCAGGACCTGCAGCCCAGCACTGGGCACAATCCTGCACAGCCTCCTACCCTACCTTCCCACTGTGGGCAGTTGCCATCTCAGGGGACCGAGCTCTTCACCTTAGCATGAACTAGTTGCCTCTCCCTGTCTGCGCCCCATTGTCACTTATAATATACTAGAGGTCCCGTGCACGAATTTGTGCATGGGTGGGGTGTGGGAAACCATACATTGTCTTCTCTATCAGAGGGCTGTGGACAAGGATCCCGGAAGGCTGATGACCCCTGAAGCCCTGGCGGGTTGTGCACCCACTGTTAGTCCAGACAATGGTACCTGAAGCAACTTCCCCATTTATTATTATTATATAAATCCTTGCTGATGGGCTAGTCTGCCTGGTACTGGAAATTGCCTGCCTAAGGGCTCCGCTATGGGTGTATCCCAAACCAATAAAAGGTTGGAGAGGCCTGAGCACCAGTGGAAGTCCTTCCCCTTGAGTTGGACTTACCTGTCTGGCCCCCCAGTATTTCCAAATTATCTCTTGTCTCTTCTCTTTCATTTCTGTGCAGCTCCTCTTTCAGATCCTGAACCCTGAACCATGTGGGACATGGGGGGAACAAACATTTACAACAGGGGGGTCCCTTGGCTTGGCTGGCGATTGGGGCTGATTGGGGCCATCTTACCCAGTCCCGATGGAGCTGATCTGGGCCGGCCGGTGGAAGCATGGGAGGTTGGCTGTGGGCGCGCACTGACCACCGGGGGCAGCTGTTTGGTCGTAACAGTCACTTAGGCATATATATATATGTGTATATATATATATGGAGACTAGAGGCCAGGTATATAAAATTTGTGCATGGGGGGGGGTGGGAAGGGAGGTGTCCCTCAGCCTGGCCTTCACCCTCTCGCAATCCGGGACCCCTTGGGGGATGTCTGACTGCCAGTTTAGGCCCGATCCTGGCCTAAACTGGCAGTCGGACATCCCTCTTACAATCCAGGACTGCTGGTTCCTAACCGCTTGCCTGCCTGCCTGCCTGATCGCCCCTAACCATTCTGCCTGCCTGCCTGATCACCCCCAACCGCTCACCTGCCTGCCTGATTGCCCCCAAATGCTCGCCTGCCTGCCTGATCACCCCTAACCACCTCTGTTCTGGCCTCCACACCCGGGAACCAAACTTCCCTCCTCTGGCTGGCTGCAGGAAACTGGGACCCAGGCTTCCTTCCCTCTGGTTGGCCACAGGCACCCGGAACCTGGGCTTCCCTCCCTCTGGCCAGCTGTGGGCACCTGGACTCAGGCCGGCTTCACCCAGGCCAGCCTACAAGCATCCGGGACCTGGGCCGGCTTTGCCTGGGCTGGCTGCAGGCACCCGGGACCTGGGAGGGCACCCAGAACCCCGGGCAGTGCTGCCTTGGTGGGCTGCAGGCACCTAGGACCCGGGTGGCGCTGCCCAGGCCCCAGCTTTGTCAGGAATGACGTCTGGAAGATGTATGCTCTATCTGGTCTAATTAGCATATTACTCTTTTATTAGTATAGATACCTCTTAAAGGCAGGGTCTGAATTATTGACTTGTTCCCTGTAAAGTCTCTAATACACAGTAAATGCTGTGCAGCTAATTTAAAGCTTTATTTATGTTTTTATTTTTATTTTTTAAATACTTTTTTAAAAAATATATTTTATTTTTTACAGAGAGGAAGGGAGAGAGATAGAGAGTTAGAAACATCGATGAGAGAGAAACATCCATCA